TTAATATTCATATTAATATTCTCTAAATTTAATGTGAATATGAATAGTATGTGTCGCTTAGATTTGGCACTAATTGGTAGTTCAAGTATAAGCATTCAAAGGTGTTAGAGTACTTGCTGATTCCGCACAATATCATTGTCACAACTATGAAATCGAAAGGGATTTTTTGTCGAACACGAAAATATCATTGACTAGCTGTCGCAAACCGTTTTTGATTCTACAAAAGAAAACGCATAATTCAAAATATTAGAAGATATGAATGCTTTTTTTGTTTTGCGAGCGTTTTATTCCTCATTAGCATTGTAAGGGAATGCAGATTTAATAAATGATGCTGATTATTCATCATACAGACATAACCGTTACATAATTGTAAGATAGGTGAAGACACAAAAGAAAATAGAGCACTGGATTCAGGGGAGATCATTGTACGAAATGACAAGAAAAGATCATGGTATGTTAAAATCTCTGTAGGTGGAAACATGTCATCTAGACGTCGACAATAGTATTGCATAGTTTATAGAAAAAGTTTCGTAGTTTTTGTTTATAGACGCCAACTGTGGGCAGGCGCGGAACTGTTCTCCCAATGACAGCAACTCAGACGTGTTGTGTAGATCTTTATCTGAATATTCGAAGAAGTCGATCATGAGTGGAAGACATCGTTGGTGGCAAGTGGTGATTCGTTTTTAACCATACCTTGATGTCAGGCAATGAAATTTTGAATATAAAGATGCAGTCGTATAGAGACGTTCAAGACGGGAGACTTCAATCGGGAAAAGTTGCGAATGATCTATGTACATATCTCAGAACAGAGAAAGTAGAATGCATTTTTCCGATTTGAATTTCCATCATATTCCAAAGTGATAATGTGGCATCTAAATAAAAGCCTAGATTCATCAAGGAATTCGATTGGATAATCCGATCTCGATTTTATCAAATTGTTATATTAAGGTATTTCACCGTTCCATATTACACGACTAGTTCAATTCTTTCTGCGTCTACTGATTGATGCCACACATTTGCACACACAGCAAGAGATTTTTCATGTCTTCGTGTAAGTGGGATTGGATTTTGGTGATATAGTCATATAGCTGAAATACAAAGGTGACTAGAATGTAAGCATTTCCAACGTCATTAGCAAACGAATGAAAATTCTCTGAGCAAGAACAAGTTTGAGATAGATCATAATGATCAGCTACGTGGAGAGAGACTAATCAGCTTTTTATAGCTGCCATATTTGACTAAACGTGAGCGAAGTGCTCCTTTGAAGTTAGGTGATTCGACACAATATGCTCAACGAGAATAATTTTACTTTTCCAAAGAATTCAACACTTTTAGGAAAGAAGCACTTTGTTAGGACCCGTATTTGCTCCATATCTGCTGCCGTATCTAACAAGTATTCTCTAGGTATGAATAATGTATTGTGTAGTTTTAATTTTAGAAAATGTTAACCAAAGCTGTAGTCTCGAAAGAATATAAATCACATATATCTCACAAGATTGCGATTCCTCTTTCCGTTCAATTTTGGTTAATACTTGTTTTTGAAATACCATCGATTGCCTGTTCTTTATTCGTTCTCTATCATCTTGTCTTTGATCGATTGTTACGTCGTGCTCTACATAATCATGTATTCATCATACTTCTTTTCATTAATCTCATCACCGAACTAACAAATGTTCCATGGATTCTCAACTACTATCGCTTACATAAAGTCTGGCCAGCAACAAACAGTTTCTGTCTTGCCTGGATGTATCTTGATGAAACATTGTATATCACAACAACAGTACTTATTGCGTGGGCCACAGTTGAACGACATATTCTGATTTTCCATGATCGATGGGTGTCCACCAAAAAGAAAGTATTTGCTTTCCATATTCTCCCATTAGTCATACTTCTTCTCTACTGTCTTGGTTACCACTTTATTATTATTATCTTTCCACCCTGTGAAAATATATTCGACTACACCCAACCTATATGTGGCCAATATCTTTGCTTTTACGATAATCAAGTGATAGCTTTGTGGGACGTCATTGCTCACGATCTTGTGCCCGCCATCATCATTATCTTTTTCAGTATCGCTCTACTCGTGCGCATCTTGTATCAAAAATATCGTATTCATCAACGGATTTCTTGGCATAGGCATCGAAAAATGGCTATTCAATTATTGTCTATTTCCCTTCTATATCTTATCATACATATTCCGAACATGCTTCTCGAATTTGTATATGCTTGTGGAGTTTCCAAAGAGTTTGGAGCTTATTTCGTGATATATGCAAATTATGTCGCTTATCATGGGGATCTTTTATTCCCGTTTGTGTGCGCTATGTCATTACCTAAGCTGCGTCAGAAGATCAAGAAATTAGTTCCATGCTGGCGACGAAGAACAAACAATGTCACTCCTGCAGCATTGAATGTGCCACATTGACTGGTAAATACATAGCTAGAACGATTGCTACTGCACCGTAATAGATGTTGTGCTGTGTACCCAATAAAATTTTCTCATCATTTTCCCTCTAATATCTGTGAAATAATATGATTCTGGTGCACGATGAAGCAGCGAAAAATATGATATCATAACAGCAACGATGATAGGATCGTTTTCATTCAATAATCTACTGTATAGAGCTACGTAAGAATGCACTGTTTCGATGTTGATTTCTCAATTGGCTTGAAACTACGACTGCGGTAGCAAGTCCTTGCAAGCGCTTCGAGTTTCTGTTTCTGATAGTGATTTATTTGAACATAATTTGTTATGGTAGAAAAATGGAAAAAATGAAAGAAGGCGGAAACATATATCTCGATTTCTTGTAATTGAATAAGGTGAAAACTATTGCTCTAAGTTAAACAAGCAACTAATTGATGAATTTCAAGTAGAAGACGTAACGTTATCGATAATATGATTGTACGAATACTTACAATAACAATGATGCAATTTATTGATTTGTCATTGTAAATGCTACTCAGCCAAACAATTGAAGCTCAGCGATATTTTTGCAATAGTTTATTGCGTGAAATAGTGACTTAGCATGTATTTTTTGATCAAAAAATTGGTCGATAAATAGCAAGTCATTTTCAATCCATTCTATTTTTCGATAATGAAAATCATCGGGAAACGAAATGGATCTAACTCATCATGCACAAAATGGTATTTGTACAGGCTACTCCAATGAATGAATCAATTATAATAGCTCTCTGATCATTGAAATTTTCCCGACTTGCAGCTCGATTGACTCGTACTAACGATTACTCGAAAACTAAGATCACTATATTTCCAATTGACTCTACACTTGATGGTAGTTCAGGGCATGTTTTCGTGGTTGAATAGGATCAAGGACTATAGCTAATAATCAGTGGTTCTGACACATCCACAATACAATTGTCCAAGCCGTTGACATGTCGGACATTCTTTTTTTGGAAAGTCGTCATCCTTGATCGACTTCAATTAGTCTTTATGCGTCGAGATTTCTGTAAAACTTTGTAACGTCTTTAGAAACTAGAGAAATTACTAAAAATTAACCGTGACCCACACCCACACCCAAAACTTGGTGAACTGAATTTAATTATAGTTTTAGCACTAAGTTCACTTGTAAAATTACTTTAAACACATTATATAATTAATTCTAGATGTCAAACATACTTACTCTAGAGGAACAGTTTCGTAGACTTGTTCTTTCTTTGAAGAAAATGAATTCCATCTGGATGGCAGCCAACATCGCCGATGGATTACAATTTTTTGAAAATCTTCCTCCATTACGTCATGATGTATTAAAAAGAAAAATAAATCGAATATTAGAAAGGGAGCCGTAAAAGATAGACTAAAATGTGGTGCACCAAGGACTGTTCGAACGAAGCAATTCAAAAGAATAGTAAAAAGATTAATAAATTTAGAAAAAGATCAAAGTCAAGGAAAAGCTGTTTCTCATTCACAGCGTAAAAACATTGAAGGTAAAAGAATATTAGTTCAATGAGTAATTGAAGAATTAAAATTGAAACCATTTAAACTCAGAAAAACTCAACAATTAACAGCATTAGATAAACAACAATGTGTTACTTGTGCAAAATAGTTAATGCGGAAATTTGATGCAAGACAAATTGGTCCAAAATGGCAATGGGCTAAAATTATTAATACTGATTTTTTGGGAATATTTACAATAGAAGGTTTTCAAAATAGTAAAAATGATGTAGCTTCTGCTGAAGATCTATCTGAAATTTCTGCTGATTTAAGAGAACCACCAAAGGTGTTGGTGTGGGTGTAGGGTGTGAGTATGAAGAATAGAATGATACCCACATCCATACCCGCACCCATCCATCGATTGGTATCAAATTCAATTCTACTAATAGTCGAGTTCACCCTCTATATAGTTTTTCATGGATAGCACCGGAATTTTTGCTTGTTTTTAATAGTAATTTATGTGCTAATTCGTGTAATAATTTTTATTAAATAATCAGAATGATTAGGTTAGATGCAGCATTGGATTGAATGTGGATCTTCTCTTTACACACAGACACACCTAAACTCTAAGTTGCCACTGGTTTTATCCTTGATAGAATTCAATAATAATTTATATGTATTTTTTCGCTGATAAAAATTGTATCAAATTAAATCTGAGTGTTAGAATTCAATGACTATAATAATCTTATTAGGCTATCTTAATGATTTGTTTCTATACTTTAGATATGATCTAAAAAGCGCTCAGAGATATTGAGTGTGTTCAAAGTTAGTCTTGGATTTGATTAGATCATCGATTAAATTCAGTTGATTGAATTTTAAATATATCAAATAATAAATTATGAATATTCAATCAATAGAATTTCTAAATCATTTATTTATATTTTTTTTCTTCAATTTATGTCTTAAAATTTCATTGTAAATAAATAATATTTATCGTAGAAATTCGTACAAATAAAAATGAAAAGTTTTTTGCAAAAAAATTCTACAAATATATTTTAATATGAATGTATTCAAAAATGTATTCTTTCTTCTCTTCGATACATTTGGTCTACTATGAAATATTCAACGATCGGACGCTTCTTGTTTCACTTGTTTTGACACTAGATGATCCCACACGAGAATGACATGAACATGGATGATATCGAAATACTTTGAGAGTATGTTGCGTTGTTACACTACATTCAACAACAATTAAATGACCTTCATTACTAACACATAATCCTTGTGGATTGTTCAAATTGTCAGAACGTTTTAATAAGATTTCAACATTATCTTCATCTAAATCATGTTCAAGAGAATAAATAATTGAATTAAATGAATCAACAATAATTAATTGTTGATCATAATTATCAAATATAAGAGAAGATATACGAAGAAATGGATAATGATCAAGTTTAATAGAACGAAGATATTCACCAGTTATTGTTAATTGATGAATAATACTAATTGATAAAATTGAATTACTTAAAAAAAGAAAACTATTTTGTGGATCCATACAGAATGGAAGAGCATTTTGAATTGAATCTGAAATAGAACAATTCAAAAAAGAAAAAAACTAAGAATCAAACTGTATTAGTTGAATATTTTACTCTGTATTATTGATGTTCTATTTAAATCAATTTTTGCTACTTGTATTTTTCTTTTAATTAAAAAAGTTATAATAAGACCTTTTTCACATGATATTGCAAAATGTTGTTTGCTTGTTCCAACAAAAAAAGGTTTTTCTTTTGTTAGAAAACTTTGTTTATATAAAAATTTTCCATTATATTCAATTGTAAAATATTGTACTCGTCGATTATTTGTATCAGCAACTAATACATTTGATGATGATTTATCATAAAATGAAGCTACACTCCATGGTGAATCAAATTCATAAAGATCATGGCCTCGTTTTCCACCACATGTTGAAAGAAGTATCAATTGAGGAGTGAAAAGAATAAGACGACATCGATCTTGTTCACATACAATTAATGAACCATCACTTTCAGATAAACAACATACCGAACGAGGCCAGTTTATATTTAAAGCATAAGTAGCAAGTAATTTGGGGTTTCTATTTTAAATTGACATTCAAAACTTATCGAATTAAATTGAACCACAAAAGTTTGAGATACTTCTTACTTTCATGTTTTATGTAAAAAAGAAAGGAAGTAAATGACATATTTTAGATGCTATATAAAGTTGGAGTCAAGATCCACACAAACTACCTATTCGAGATCTAATTGATTGTAATGTAAAGAAAAAGAAGAAACTTCAATTTTTCTCTTGCAAAGAAATGAGTTATAACCATTTAATATTATTTATAACTGATTAGAGAAATGTTTTTGTTATAAGTTTTGATTTTCAAATACTCAATTAGAAAGAGCATTGAAAAACTGAGCCCATCCTCCATCAAAAGTCGATCTCAGGCTAGGAGCGTTCGAATAGCATGAAATTTTCAGGTTATGTTGGGGCTGTAGTGAGGGGGCTATGGTAAAATTTTCAGTCCTGTACCATGACGTTTGAGGGAGATATTGATCAAACAAGGGTAAAAAATAGCTCATCTCGTCTGCAAAAATTCTCTATGGTCTTCAGTCTACACATTTAATTTTTTTTTGTTTGAAAGAGCATATCAGAATGCAATGCCTATGAGAGTTCTTTTTTAAACTCTTACTTTTTAAGGGAAGAAAGGGTATCGAAAGTTCAATGACTCAAAAAAACTCTCTAATAATTGCGCTCTAATTATATAAATGTTTGCATATATAATAAAAGCAAAGCTTAATAATAAAAAAATGGGCTCTCATAGACACTACAGTTTTACATGCTCTTTCAAACAAAAAAACTATTGGCTACAATGAAGTTCTTTTGAGAATTCTTTCAGATGCGATCGAAAACCTATTAAATGAGAAAAAAAACAAAAAATATTTTCGGGTTTTTTTTCGAATAGAAAATGACAGAAATCTTCAAAAATTTATGAAAAAAAAACGAGGTGCCGAGTAGAAATTTTGAGAGATCAGATCACGGGTTATCTTTCTCTGCATTTATCTTAATTTCGGTCATTCCGATGAAAAATGGCTTTTTTTGAGAGAGAGGAAAGACAGCCCTAACAATTAAGAAAAGTGAGTTCTAACCGTAGACTCCAGAACTTTAAGAAATAGTACACTTTCTAGAGCAGACTTTATTTTATCAAATGAACTTTTCCACGTTTCTATGCAATGTGTTCATCACTTGATAGAACCTTTTGTTTTTTGATCACTAATTTCAACAATGATTTCCGCTATTATCCAGTTAATCCATGCCTTAATATTTTCAGAGTGCTATATTTGATGATGAACACATAATAGAGAAGAGTGCAAGATCTCATTTGATATAATAAAGTCTTCTCTACAAAATCCACTATTTTTTAAAGTTCTCAAGTCTATAGTTAGAGTTCACTTTTCTTAATTATTAATTAAATTTTAATTAATGTTTCAAAAAAATCATGTTATAGAGAGTTATTGCAAAATGAATTCAGTTTTCAATGTTCTTTCTAATCGAATATTTGAAGATCAAAATTTATAACAAAAACATTTCTCTAATTAGTTATTAATAATATTAAATTATTATAACTCATTACTTTTTAAAATTGTCTCTATTTTTCAATAACAATATAATCACCAAAATACTAAAAGTGTCTTAAACTTTTCTTTACACTATATACCTCCTTTCATTTTTTCAGTGTCTTAAACTCATGCAGTATACTTTAGATAATATGTATTATACCTATCGTCATTATCATCGGCAGACATATTATCATGAAACTGAAAGGCTTGATTAAGACCATGATGAAGACTTTCAATAAGCATCTCATTATTAATAAACTTATTTGATTGTTTTATTTTTGAACGACAATTATGTCCTAGCAAGCATAGTTATTAAACATATATATTTCATTTTATAATTCAAAAAATAAATATTACTTTTGGTTGATGCAATTGAATATGGTAATGAAGAATCAATACTAGTACGTCGGTATCGAACATCAATTGGACGATAACCAGGTGGATAAAGACGATTTTGTGTAGCCCAATCAACCATCTTCTCTTATTGTTTTTATATGCAATTTTCAAAATGAATCGAGAGAAAAAAAAACCGTTTTCAAATAAGTACATACATTACACACAAACACACACACATACATACACATGCAACTATTGAAATTTTGTTTTTTTTTGTTTTGTGTGTTTTGTTATTTAACATAGAGATGTTTGAAAAGAGAAAACAACAGCAACCGATAGTGAATAGTTAATAATCATCTATTCTTTTTGTTTGCCTTTTTTCAAGTGGAATAAAAGACGCAAACTCTTTAAAAAATATTCTTTTCAAAATACAATTGAATGAAAATAATGCATAAGATTGCTTCGTTATTTATACAATGTCAATAAAAGATGAATATAAAATGTTTTCTTTACCTTGTTAAAATTTTAAAATATCTTTTTACAAAAAACAAAAAAAGAAAATTTAATTATGAATATATGTAATTAATCTAAAAGTTTAATGAACAAACACATCAACATTAAAAAAGATTTTAAAATATTTCTATTCATTTATATATATTTAGATCAAATTTTACATAAAATAAGTTGATATTATTCCTATTGCAAATCCATATGCAACTAATTTGAAAAGTTTCCAATATTGATTTTTATTTTTCATATTAGTTAATTCATTATCATATTTGTTTAAATCAATATAATAAAAGAAGCATTTTTTATAAGTATTCATACAAATATAAATAAAACAAGTTAGAAGTAAAATAAAGTCAATAAATAAATATGCATTCATTCCAAAAAGTAAACCTAATAAATAATAAAAACCAAATATGAATAAATCATATCGAAGAATTTTAATATAAGAATAAAATATATATAATCCAGTTATAATCAATTTAGAAAATAAAATGATTAATGACCAATGAATAGATAAAATATTTTTTGATGTATTAAAATTAATAAATTTCGTTAAATATACTTGAGGTGACCACAAATGTTGAAAACATTCAATATGATTTTTAGTGAATTGTGGAAGTAGAAAATATTTTGAAATCGTACAATATTCAATATTAATACGAGAGTGATGATATATCAATAAAGAATTAATAGAACCTAAAGGAAATAATATCAATTCAAAATTTGAAATAATATTTTTTTTTTATTTGATACTTTGATTATCTTCATAAGAATATTTGGTAATAGGAATAATATTCAATTGATTTTCTTGTGATTCCTTATATATTAATAATTGAGAAGGACAAGGTTCATATGGATTTAAATCTTTTAAATCAGTTTTTTCAAGTAGAACTATGTTCTGTTCTTCGTTAGTCTTTTTTTCTAAAAAGTAAATTTAAAAAAATAAAAATAAAATTTCTTTTTTTGTTGTTTTTGATCTTCACCCATTTGTTGATGTTCATTATCGAAAAGTATTGATTGAAATTGATCATTTTGTTTTTCTTCATTTGATATTACTGTTAATTCTTGTTCTATTAATATTGCATGTTGACTATCGACATGTGTTAAAGGATGTTCAGTTATGAAACTATATTTGGTTTTAAGATGATGATGAACTTTTGTTGTTATATTTTCTTCTTCTTCATTATTATTAATATAATTATTAAAATTAAAATGATGATATTCATTTATTGTTAGAGAATCTTCAGGTGTTGTATTAGGTTCGATATGTCCATCGTCTTCTGATTGATTAAATTTTAAAAAAGAATCAATTGATTGACGAATTATCAGTTTTGATTTTATTGATGATTGAAAATCTTCAGAATTATTTTTCGGATAATGAATTATGTCATCATTATTAGTAATAAGATTACATTGAGAAATATGAAGAATTTTATCTAAATTATCATTCTTTATTGAAGATTTCAATGTTTCATGTATATCTGTTTGTATATTAAATATTCTTTCATATTTATCATTAATTGACTCATCCATTATTTCTTTAACATCATATAAATCATCTTCAATTTTATTTTTATATATTTTTTCATGATTAATTAAAATAGAATTCTCATCAATTTGATTAAATTCGTTTGAAGAATTCATTCTTATTTAATTATTTACAAATATTTCGTTATCTTAATCAATTAATTAATTATAGATTAAATAGTAACATTATTTCCGATAAAAAAAAACAATATAATAAAGAATGGCGGTTTTTATGTAAATAAATAATTATTCAAATTTTATTTT